CCATGCCCATCCACCAACTAACACCCAGCCTACTACTCGTGAAAACTCCACTTTCACCACAAACTCACATGTAATTTCACGCGACTGAAGCGGATACGACCCCCCCCCTCCTATAAACTCAACCAGGTACGACCCCCCCCGTTGTTACTAGTAACAACGTAGGATTGACCCTGCTTGTGAGTCCGGCCGTGGTACGAACGGAGAGAAAGCAGCTGTGAGGAGAAGGAAAACGCGAGATAGTACGTCGTACGAGAGAGGGCGCAGAGACCACGTATGCCGTGGTTGATAAGGATGGCAGCACGGCAGCACGGCAGCACACAAGGCAAGGCCTTAGCGCCGTTGCCTCGCACTTTTGAGTCGCGACAGTGTCGTGCCTCCTGCCCTTGGGACCCCTCTTTCTCACTCTAGAAGGGACTGGCTCTTGGGACCTAATCCGACCCCTGGCTTGAAGTGGGAGATCATGTAGAGGTGCTTCTAACAGCACTAGGACAATATTGTGAGATGATCATATGAGCGATGTTTGGAGCTGTTTAGAATTTGTTAGTTTTCTTGTGCGGTACGAGGTTGCTGGGTGGAACATTTATTGAATGGTCCAACGTTTGGCTAAATCGTGGTATTCAAGGATTTGAATGCGTTTCTAGTTATGCTCTACATCACCATGTGCCTCATCAAGCGGTTCCGACATCGTGTCAGAAACCCCTCGAGAAGATCAGAACAGCGCAGAAATAAACTCACCGTCGGTTCCACCCTTCAAGCGGAGAAAGTCCGCTGCCACACAAGAGCGCAAGTCAGTTCCAACTGAGAAATATCATACTGTGTCCTTTTCTCAAAAATGACACTGTCATTCTTGCTCGCATTCTGATCTTCTTGAAGAGGTTCTGACACATGTCGGAACCGCTAGAGTCGATGGTGCAAAGCGTAATCTTGAAACTTTGACTTAGAAAAACGTTGAGGCCACTGATGATGACAACTGAGTCGAAAGGTTAGGTCATTAAATTAATGTACTACCAACCGACCTTGTACGGCGCAAGACAACTAAGGCACTTCAAACTATTAGGTACCGGATATCTTAGTGTCGTTTTTTCACCACGAGTTTCGGACCACCAATATTTTAATTCAGAATCCGGGGAGTGAAACAGCATATTCATCGAATGACTCATTAGCACTTTCCCATTTACCAGTATGAGTGGAAACCTCGTACGATTAAAGCTAGGAATTTTTTGAGTCGAAAAAGAGAGGTAGGTCGGTTTTGACATCATCTGACAAATCATCCCTCTCACTTGCTAAAATTAGGCCTGGACAAAAGAAGTATACAGTTAGTTAGAGTAGGGTCTGCACTGTATGGTGGAAAAGTTATTACTTACCAGCTCAACTGGACAATTTTTCCCGGAGTCTTTTTTGCCACAGGGTGGTCAAAAACGCACCCTTTTTGAGCACACGTGAGTAGCAGATGAGCACATTTATTAGAATTTCTTGTGCAATCAACTTCGTTAAAGCGTTTGTGCATCATCGATCAGTCACTGCTAAGGTGTCCTACCATTTCAGCACGTGCAGCCCTGTCCTGAACTGATTTAACTAGGGTCACCTTTTTGACGACGATTGCGGGCATCACTTCAAAGACTTCACTGTCTTTTGAGAAAACTGTGAAAAACCGATGAGCATTTTAAATGGTAGTATTCCCTCCAACAAATGCAATGTTGGTTTGGTGGGCGGAAGTTGTAGCTCTCAGCAAGAATTTTGAAGCATTTGGTACACACATGCGAATTTGCACACTGGACCCAGGAATTTTCAAAAAAAGTATAAAAATTGGGGAAAGTTAAATTGTGAACCAACAATAGAAAACAATAAGCAACATATTTCGCAGTATTAATGAGCAAAAAGGACTTTCTGAGATATTGATTTTCCATAGTAATCGGCCCCAAAACTTCCTGAACTCAGAAAAGCGACACTAAGATATCCGGTACCTAATATATATGCCGAGGTTGCAAGAAGAGAGAGGTTGGGAGAATGCTGTATAAGCATTTTTCGAAGCATGAGATAGGCAAGCAGCAGATATTCTGCCCCGAACCATGAGGATGTTTCAAAACATCGTTCTTGTGAAGGTTTTTTTTTTATTTCTTTTGGTCCGTTTTGACAGTGTAGGGCAGTCACAATCGTGAACACAGGCTCATCCGTGAAGGTTTCAACGTTTCCTAGACTAACAGTCAACTAGTGAAACTTCGGCTTTTCACGAAGAATAAAGATGTGAAATCTGGTAACGAACCCTGGTAAACGGTCAATTTCGCCAAACATGATT